TGGTCATGTCCACTGCTCCCTTCGCCATAGTCCATTGCACATTGTTTTCTCTCCACACTTTTTGTTGAAGCTGTTCTCAGTTTTTTTGCTCCAAGGACAATAATTGCCTTTACCCTCCCCCATTCCTTCTTTATTGCCCTCAAGTAAATCCAGAAGAGTCCCAGAGGGTACCCATCCTTTCCTGTCCTTTCTCTACCTCCTCTCCCCTTAAAGCTGTTTCCATCTCCTTTCCTGACAAAGCTTCCCACGGTGTCGATATCTCTTGTTGATGGGACTTTTCCTGTACTTTCCTCCTGATCAGGACATTGCTTTGAACACCTTTCTCGGAGCTCTAGGCATTTTCTCCTTATATTTTCTTGGTCTTTTTTCTCTATGACTCTGCAGGCATCAAGCAAACTTTCAAAGGCCATTTTCTCTGTGGCTTGGTATAATTGGAAGGAAGGAAAGGAGTACACTTAGAGGCAGGAAAGATGTAGGGTGGATCCAACCTTCAACGTTTACTGGTCCTGTGACCAGGAATAAGTATAAACCTCCCTGAGCCTCAGTTTCTTCATGTGTAAAATAGAGGAGAAGAATATCCCTAGTACCTACTTCAAGGTTATTGTACAGGTCAAACGAGATAATTAATGTAAAGCCTTTTGCAAAATTTAAATGACAATACAAATACAGCCCCTGAGAGGCAGCCAGGTATAGAGGAGGGTGCTGGATGTGGAGTCAGGAGACCTGGGTTCGAATCCTGCCTTGTGTTTACTTAATCACAAGTCACCTCACTTCTTACAGCTTCACTTTCTTCATTTGTAAAATGGGGACAATAATCCTTGGCCCACCTTCCTCCCACCAGGGTTGTTCTGAGGAGAGCACTTTGCAAACCTCTATGTGCAATATAAATGTGAGTCATTCTTCCTAATATGAGTGCTAACTGAGCCTATATTGGCACTCCAGTGTCACCTGGCCAAAGAAAGCCTCTTATACCTGACTGTGATGTGATTTGGGATTCAGAGTCCAGCCAAGTCTGATGAAAATTCCCTGGGAAAGAGTTGGGGAGAGGGTTAGGCATACTTGTTGTCTGGAAGAGGGATTATTTCTATTCATTTCTCATTCATTTGAAAATTAGATGAATAACACTGCTCTGCTTGTGAAGCCAAGATGAGCTGCCTCAGTGTGTTAATAAAGTTGTCCATACTCCTTAGCAAGAGAATTATTTCTCACTTCTCTCTTTATCTGTTGGCAAAATTCTGCATTATTGAGATGGTGTTAAAATGTTAAGTGAAGTCTGGGGGCTGAGAGCTTGCAGCCAGATTTGGAGTTCGGAGGATACTGGAGTTGGCTTTTGACACTGCCGTCCATATTGGCGGAACAGTGCTTGGCACAAACAGTAGCCACCTAACGAATGTTTATTGACTGACGGGATTGCTCATAATTAAGAGACAATGTGGGTAGTGAGAAGAGTGCTGCCTTTGGGAGGCCATTGATCATGTCATCATGGTTTCTTAGTCTTTGTTCTGATTCTGATGCATGGTCTCCAGAACATCCCCATAAGGTGGAAGTACACTTAGCCATCTGGTCTAGAAGTTGTTTGAGGACTTGAGGCCATGTAGATAATTGTGAAAAATTCAATGTACTTTTTACTTCGAAACCTCCTCATTGTCTGGTTTCCTATCAATCCAGGCTATCTTGGATTACTCGGATACTTCAAGGGATGCTATGAAGTTTGAAGAACAAGATGACTCTAAATTAACTTTTGAAATGCCAAGTGGCATGCTCAGGAAGGTCTAGGGGAGCAGGACCACAGCAACAGCAGATGGTGGAGTCACCCAGAAGTTAGGAGTCACTGCTTTATATTAATGCCATAACCCAAGAAATCCACCTGGGTGCTTGGCTCAGTGACATTACTAGTCCTGACCAGATCAATAAATAAAAAGGGTGCCCTGTCATTGACTGGAATTACAGTTATTTCACGCTTCTTTATAGGAGGAAGTCCTTGGATTTATTACCTTTTTTAAAAAATATTTTTAAATTAGCAAGTATTTATTTTATCTTCTTCCTATCTGGGTAGCACAGTGCATAGAGCACTGGGCCTGGAATTTGGAAGACTTGAGTTCAAATCCAGCTTCAGCCACTCATTAGTTACGTGACAAACTATTTAAAATCTCAAGGTCTCAGTTTCCTCAATGTAAAGTGAAGGTCCCAAATGCACCACCCTCCCAGAGTTGTTGTGAGGACCAAGCAAGATGTTTGTGAATTACCAAGGACATAGTATGTACTTAATAAGTGCTTGTTCTCCCCTCCCTCATCCACTCTCTCCTTCCCCTATCAGTAAAAAAGAGAAAAACAAAACCCTGTAACAAATATGCAGAGGGCAGTGAGCACAACCAGGAGAACAATGTATACAATAAAGAAAACATTGTAAAGACAAAGAACACAGGAAGACCAAAGAACTCTGATTGCTACAAAGACCAACTGTGATTCCAAAGCGCCAATCATCTAGAACACATTCCTAGATATGGTATGGGTGTCCCCAAGTCTGGGTGCTGTTTTAAGCTGGGAATCTGTTTAATAGCTCTTTAATTGGTATTGAAGCTTAAAACAGTATTTTGTTCACTTTTTGTACTTTGAGGGATGTGTGGTGTCATTGATGTGGGGGCACTGATTGCAGCCCACCTGTGCCTTCTCATCCTCCATTTTGCCCCTCCACATTCTTCCATTGGTTCTCCCCAGGGGCTTGCCCCTAGGCCTTTGGACCTTTCTCTTTTATTAATTTTAAAATGCCAGGTATGTATGTACCCACTACTGGAAGGCTGCCATATTAATACAGTAATTTCCAGAAATATGGATTCTATCCTCTGAATAGAATGAATAACTTTGTCGCTAGTGTTGTTGGCCTTAAATTACAATTTAAAAAATGTTTCAACATGTTAAGAATTGAGTGTGTAGGTCTATAGTCTATCTCCAAATCAAGTCAGTCAGCAAGCATTTAAATGCCTAGTATGTGCCAATCACACTAAGCACTGAACATATATATGTGTGTGTACATACATATACACACAGACATCTGTGTATTTCCACACATATACATATACGTACACATACATACAAGCACACACATTGTATGGAGAATGTTTCCCCCCTTCCCCTCCCTTATTTCTGAACAATAAATTTGAGCCTTGTTTTCAATGGGACATTTGGTCTTCCATCTAGATGCCCTATCCTGGAACAAATAATGCCTTCTGACAGCTCGGTACAGAATTATGATGTGATTTTACTCATGTCTACACTTTGTGAACACTTGTCTCATGAGATAAGTATATAGGCTGGAGCATCTTTGTAGTTCTTTGGAAAGCAGCCTTGGTTATATCTGAAAGGTTGTTTAGAAAGACAGGCTAGCTGATTCAACTTAACAAACAATTTTTAAGTACCTACTCTCCGGAATGAATTTCACGAAATGCTGAAGTTACAAAGACAAAAACCAACAATCCCTATTTCCATTTAGTAATGATGATGATGATGATGATGATGACAACGACTTGAATTTATGTAACACTTTAAAGTTTGCAAGTGCTTAGAGAATTCTAGTTCATTTGATCCTCACAACAGTCTTGGGAGATAAGTGCTCTTACTATCACCACTTTATTTTTGAGAAAATTGAGACCAGCAGAGGGTGACTTGCCCATGGTCAAACATCTAGTAAGTGTCTGAGGCCAGATTTGAACTCAGATCTTTCTGACTCCTTGTCCAACACTTTGTCCACTGTGCCACCTGGCTGTGGGGGCAGATGCAGCATGTACAGCTATGTAAATTCAGAGTCATTTAAGAAGGGAAAGCATAAATTGGAAGATCAGAGAAGATCTCATGGACAAGGTAGAACTCGAGCTTGAAGTCTTGAAGGAAGAAAATGATTTTGAAAAGCGGAGCTGAGAAGGCAGTGCCTTCTTGGCATGGGGCACAGCATGAGCAAAAGAGTAGAGATGGGAGAGGGGATACTGAGAGTCCTGTTTGATGGGAATGCAGAGTTCTCATGAAGTGATGTAATGTGAAACTGGGATAAAGGTTGGTTGTTGACCTTTGCAATCAAGAAGACCCAAAATGCATCACTTTGTTGGGGTCAATGTACGGTGTGTCCAACTGCCTGATCAGGCCAATGAGCGCTTGGAAGGTTCTACCACAGGTCGGACACAAATAGTCCATATAAAGGTAGGTCAGCACTAAACAACAGAAGACTTTAAACACCAGGCTGCGGAGATCGTGTGTGTGTGTGTGTGTGTGTGTGTGTGTGTGTGCGTGCGCTTAACCTGGAGGCACTGGGGAGCCGCTTGGAGCTGTGCCTTAGCAAGGTGATTTTTGACAACTATGTTGGATGGATGGATTGGGGAGGGGAGAGAATGGTGTCATGGAGAATTAGTAGGAGGTCATTGCAATGGTCTGGGTGAAAAATGTTGAGGGCTTGAACTAAAGTGGTTGGCCCATGTCTAGAGAGAAGGAAGGTAAAGATGCAAATGATATTGTGGAGGCAGAAATAAGATGGGGTAACTGATGAGTTATGGAGGTAAGGGGGAAGAAGGAGTAGATCTCATCCCTGAAATTTCACACCTAGATGACTGGGGGCAGGAGGGAGCCCTGGCAAGTCTGAAGGAAGAGCAAGCCCAAGGGAACAATGGTGAGTTCCATGGCGGATAGGTGGAATTTGCATGACATTCAAGCCAGTTTCATATTCTAGCTGGAGTTCATAGAATCTGAGTTGTGAGGGAGCTTGGAGGTCATCTACTCTGACCCATACCTGAACAAAGTAAGTTAAAAACATGTACCTTGTGAAGACTTTGAAAAAAAAACCCTGAGAAATATCATTTTAGGAATGTATGATTCATATTTTTCTTTCTATTCCAGAGCCACTGGTGTTTGATTGCCAACATTTCATGCAGAGTTTAAGGTCCCTTGTATTTTGACACTTTCATCAGATAACAAAACCTCATAGAGGCTGCACTAACACTGTCTTTTTGGTTTAGATGGCCAATGTGACACCAGAATATTGTCTTGACATCATAAAGAAGTTTGAAGTTTCAGAAGAAAATAAGGAGAAAAATGTCCTTGGCATAGAAGGTAAAACATCTTTAGATTCTAAACATTGATTTCTTGTTATATTTGATGATATTAAACTGACACCAGTACCTGGGAAGAAGCCTGCACCCTAGAGAGGACCCTAAAGTTGGCAAGCATTCTTTTTCAATTCATGTCAGGTCTTCATTCATATCTCTTACAGAGTTGTGCTATGTTTTTATCTTTAAACCACTCTGAAGGTCCATTCTCTCTTCAGGGAGTCTGAGGGTTGTGGTCATCTTGTTCCTTCAAGAGGTTTCTCCTGGCTTTCTTTTACTGAAGCTAACTCTAACTAGTTGCTAGCTGATTGTTAAGTTTTGGGAGGGGGAGCATTTACATCTCAGGAACTGGACATGTTACAAATTGGGGGATCATTGCTTCTGCTGATTATCTAGATTTAAGGAAATATTAATAATGCAGATTAAATTTAAAAGCATGTGCATACATTTTACCCCACCAGTGGCCAGTTCAACCTTTACCAGTACACCCCTGTATTGCTCTATAAAAATTGCCTGAGCTCAAAAGAAGTGCAGTAAAAAGCTAAGGGAATGAAGTCACCACCAGATTAGAGGCTAATAATAATAATAATAATAATAATAACTGGCATTTGGATAATGTTTTAAGATTTGCAAAGTGCTTTTATATTCATTACCTCATCTGAGCCTCATAATACCCCTGCTTTTACCTGATAGTATTGATTCATTGTGTTAGACTCTTTTTAATTTGCTCATTTTTCTGCTCTCTCTCTCTTTCTCTCTCTCTGTATTTCCTATGAACCTTTCTTTCCTCTCTTTTAGGGGAATGATCACTAGCTTGGCCATTTTGCAGTAACATCTCAAAGCAGATGTCATAAACTGATGACTTATGGCTTTTATCTTTGTGGTACCAGTCGGAACCTTGTCATTATACCTTTAAAAGGTCCAAGGCAATATTTGAACATGTTGTAAATTACTCTTTTTGGAAAGTTCATTGACTTTTCCAATTCATAAAGAGTGATAAATTATCCTGAAAGGAAAAATTGCTAGATGAAGGAGACCTGAGTGCTTACATGGCCGCTTCTCTCTCTTAAGTGGGATAAGGCTGGAGATGTCCCACGTGGGACCAGCTTCTCTCAATAGAAGATACAGGATCAAGTCACTGTTGTTCTCATAGGGCATCTTGAGCCATTGTCTTCTGCTCCTGCCTCAATTAGAGTCCCCTTTTCAATCCTCTCCTTTGCTGCTCTCTCTGGAGTCCATCCTAACAGCATTCTGTCTAATTCACATCCTCTTTGTCCACATGCCTTCTGACTGGTATCACAAGATTTTAGATTTAGAAGGGGGCCATCTAATCCAATTGGTCCCTGAACAATAATCCCCTTTATATCATACCTAACAAGTGGCTATTCAGACTTCACCTTTTGGCCTCTAGAGTTAAAGAACTGCTTCCTGAGGCTTCCCAGTTCACTTTTTTTTTTTTTTTTTAGGCAATTGGGGTTAAGTGATTTGCCCAGGGTCACACAGTTAGTAAGTGTCAAGTGTTTGGTCTGAGGTCAGATTTGAACTTGGGTCCTCCTGACTTCAGGGCCAGTGCTCTATCCACTGTGCCACCTAGCTACTGCCCCAGTCCACTTTTCTGTAGCTCTAATTGTTAGGAAGTTTATCCTGACTTCAAATCTAAATCCTTCTTCTTACCTTTTCCATTCATTGCTCCTGGTTCTGCCCTCTGGGACACGGCAGGACAGAATATTTCCTCGTCCATATGACAGATATTTTGATACTCAGAGACAGCAGTTGTGTATTTATTCAAGTCATTGATCAAAATATTAACAGTCCAAGGCCAAGAACAGATCCTTGGGCACTCTTTTCTAAGACCTTCTTCCAAGATGACATGGAGTTATTAATGACTACTTGTTAGGTCCAGTGATCCAGTCAGTTCAAAGTCCATCTAACCATATTATTATACTCTAGCCCACATCTCTCCATCTTTTCTACAGGAACAGCATGGGAGTCTTTGTCAGATCTGAAATCAGGTAAACTCCATCTACAGCATTCTCCTTATCTGCCAGTTCAGTAGTCCTGTCTAGAAAGGAAGTAAGGTTCATCTGGCATGACCCATCCTTGTTGAATGAAGCCAGATTGTTTCTTGGTAACCACTGCTTTGTCTTCTAGACATTCATGAACTATCCTTTTAATAGTACATCCTGGAATTTTGACAAGAAGTAAAATTAAACCCACAGGCTTTTTATCCCCTCTATGGTTATCGCATCATGCCATCATGTCAGTCTCTCAGTATATTTCCCCAAATTCTTATCTATTTCCTCTTTCTTTCCAAGTGGTCTGAAGTATACTAAGTTGTATGATGGATCCAGTGTTAGACTCAAAATCAGGAAGACCTGAGTTCAAATCCAATATCAGACAATAGCTGTATGACCCCGTGTTAACATCTTGTAGCCCCATCCTTTAAATGTGAATAATAAGAGTACCTATCTCCCAGAGTTGTGAGAATCAAATGAGATAATATTTTTAAAGTGCTCTTCAAACCGTAAAGCATTAAATTTAAATGCTAACTATTATGAAAATATCATGCTTACTTCTGCACCCATTGATCTTTACTAAATGCTTTACCTCTTGGTTCCTGTGTTTCTTTAAGGGGGTATATTCCTTAATATATCATATTTCTTCGTCTGTTTCCCTTTGCTCCTGTTCCTTTTACTCAGTTGAACATAAATAATCTAATTGTACCTATATAATTTTAAGTTTTTTTTTTCTATTGAGAAAAACTAATTTCAAAGGAAAGCAGAGATCAAATGGTGACTTAAAGGAGATGGGTAAGTTTTCCCAGGGTTGCTTTGGGCTTTTTCTTTACCATCAACAGAACAACTGCCTTAATTGTACTGTAGTAGACTGGCCTGCCTACTTGTAGCTTCTGAATTACATGTTTTCAATTGGGTTTGATTTCTCATTAGATTTCTCTGTGCTCAGCTCTCTGGCATATTTCTTGATTGTGTAGAAAAAGAAGACGACCCTAAAATTGTTTTATGTTGGTATATAGGGACTGTTTTTTGGTCCACTGATATTATTTGAGGGCCTCTTTGTGACCAGGCATTATACTTTGCCACTATGGGCATAATTTACTGCTCCTATTATGTTAGAATTTGAGATTATTGAGGACAGGGTTATTTTGTTTTTGTCTTTTGTAGCCCAGTGTCCCATCCCCATATCATGTTTTGTGTAGTTCCTTGTACATAGTAGGTGACTAACAAATCTTTGCTGAATTAAATTGAAGTGAATCCATCATTTATGCTTCTTACCATACACAACAGTCTGTAAGCACAAGACACAAGGAATGACATGCACTGGCCAAAAATGTCATTTATCATAAACTATTGTGTATTCAGGGCATCACAACCTGCATTTCCAATGCGTCTACTTGGGCATAATATAAGACTGCCCAAGAGTAGATGCAATTTGTCAGCCTCACGTTATCTCCTGACAATGCTCATTGTTTCAGTTACAATCATCATCATTACTACTATGCTGTTGGTTGTAAAGATGTCCGCAAAAATAAACAATGGAATGGACAAGAACTCATTTTAGTCTCATTGTCCCTATTGCATTCGCCTTGCTTAAGTGTACATTGAAAGACTTTCTCTGCAGTTTTCCTACAATATCATAGTATTTTAAATCAAAGTGTTTTTTATAAAAAAACCAACAAAACTTTTACCAACTCAACTCATCACCCAAATATGGTAATATTGCAGTTTTTTTTTTGTGACTGACTTGGATTTTTGACCTGGGACAAACCTCTTTTTGTGATGCCTCAGTTTTTCCATCTATAAAAAGGCACCCCCACATGCTCTTTAGGGGGTGTTCCTAAGGTATATGAGATCAATAGGTCGTAGATGTGGAGTTGGAAGTGACCTCAGATTTCAGCTAGTTCTCATTTTCACTGATAAGGAAACAGCACCGAGGCCCCAGAGAGATTATTGATAAGAAAATGCCTTAGTTATTTTGGAGGATGGTGATGTGATCAATGGTTAATAAAAGGATAATGTCCCATCATGGGGCGGATAGGAATGGATTGCATTCAGTACCCGTTTCCATTTTCCACGTCTGGTGCTCTGCAGTACGGCGTGTTAAGGTCTGAATCTTTCTGGTCTCTTTCCTTGAAAGGTTTTACAAACTTCATGAGGAGTCCTGCCTGTGATGTCTTTAACCCCTCACACTCTGAAGTGTTCCAAGACATGGACCAACCCCTCTGCAACTATTACATTGCCTCCTCTCACAACACATACCTGACTGGTGACCAGCTGCTCTCCCAGTCCAAGGTGGACATGTATGCTCGCGTGCTGCAAGAAGGTTGTCGCTGTGTGGAAGGTAGCTTGGCTCTTGCTTGTTCCTGCGGACACTGCACTAATACTAATAAGTAGTACTAATAATAATAGCTAACATTTACATGGCACTTTGTGCCAGGCCAAGAAAACCCCACGATTGTCAAGAAAACTCCATGGCAAAAAGTCCATAGGATCATGTATTCGTGACTGAATAGCAATAATGTGCCAGGCACTGTGCTAAGGGCTTTACGATTATTACCTCATTCAATCCTCTCAACAACCCTGGGAGGTAGGTGCTATTATGATCCCCCATTATACAGATGGGGGGATTATACAGATTATACAGATGCCTCAGGAAACTGAGGCAAACAGAGGCTAAGTAACTTGCCCATGTTCATACAGCTAGGAAGTGTCTGGGATTGGTCTTCCAAACTCTAAACCCCTGCACTCTACTGCACCACATTGCTTTGCTTTAAAATGTTTAAAATTTACTTTTTTTTAAAAAAAATTGACATCTTTCATTCCTACTTCATTTTTATTTGGGAATGTATCATCCTCTCTTACCCTACCCAGGGAGTCATTCTGAGAGATGTGAAAAGCGGGGCAACAAAACTAGCCAATACGTTAACCAAATTCGACAGCAGATGTGAGATTCCACCATCACAGTCATAGCACCAGAGATCTGGAGCTGGGAGGGATCTCAGATGCCATCTTATCCACCCTCCTCAGTTTACAGCTGAGGAAACTGAGGCTGAGAGAGATTACATGCAGTTAGGTGGTAGAATAGAGTGCTGGACTTGGGGTCAGTAAGATCCAAGCTCAAATCCTGTCTGACATACTGCCAAGCTGTGAGGTTAACTTTTCACAGCCTCGGTTTTCTCAACTGTAAAATGCAGGATCCTACTAGGATGGTTGTGAGGATCAAATAACACAAAAAATGTAAAAGCTCCTGTGGCCATCTAGCGCCAAACACAAGGACTCAGCCTCATAGGCGGGAAGTGAACCCAGGTCCTCTGCCTCTAAGACAGTGAACTTTCCTCTGTACCAATCTTCTACCTTTGCAAAGGGATATCCATTTGTCATCTCTCTTTTGGGGGCAACCTTAGTCATTCTATTTGCAGAGTATTTAGTTTTCAGGTTTGTTGTCGTTGGTGGTGGTGGTTCTTTATATTTGTCTCTTATTATTGTTTTTTTTTCCTTCAGTCAACTGATAAATATTTTTAAAAAAAATGATGCACTGTGTTGTCCCGCTGCACACTTCCTCCCCCCAAAAAAGACCAAAATACAATCAACTGTAATTCTGACTCTAATGAACCCTTACCCTCCTGACCCTAACCTGAATTCTGACTCTAACTCGAATTCCTAAAAAGAGTCAAGCAAGACTGTCCAGGAGAGTGATTGCCACTGAGAATATATACCGCTTTCCATGTCTGAAGTTCCCTCTTTGAAAGGGGGTGTGTCCTTTAATTTTAGTCATTTGTGCTGTACCTGAGTTGTGTTGCCTTTTAATTTTGTCTCATTTGTGTTCCTGTAGTCATTGTGTATCGTATCCTTTTGGTTCAACTTTCTTTCCTCTGCATCACCTCAGACAAGTTTTCCTCTGTTTCACTGACTTCATGCTTGTCATTTCTTATAGTAATAATAAGCCAGGTTCTGACTGTCTGGGAACTGGCGTCCCAAGACAAATGGTGCTTCATATAGAGAGACATAAAGGAAACAGAGGGACATTTAGATTCTGTGGTGTGGACGGAGATTCACATCCTATCTCTGATGCTTAGTACCTGTGGGACCTTGGACAAGACACTGAATGTCTCTAGGCCTCATCATTAAAATCTGTAAAATGGGGGGTTGGGCTACGTGATCTCTGGGGTCTCTTCCAACTTTATATCTGAGATGATGTAAACATAAGATACGGTGAAATACCATGGGATCCTATGTTCCTCTGAAATTACTTTGAGCAAGAAAAATGTAGTTTATAAAATATTGAAAGAAATAAAAAAAACCTTTTAGCCTAAGAGATCTTTAGACGAATTTGTCCACCCAACAAGTCTCTGGTTGAATGCATAGAAACTTACTCTGGCCATCATTATCATTAGTTCAATATTTGAAGAGAACATGGCCCATACTGTTCCCACCAGGCACTGGTGCCCTATGGTGTTTATAGCAGAGGTGGCCCAGAGGATGAATTTAGGATGGATGGTTATCAACCTTAGGCCAAATTACTCACCTTCTGCCCTCTCTTTCCTATGGCACAAGTGCCCAGTACTTCTGGGCCCAACCCTCTGGATGGTCAAAGATCCCCTGATGCAGACAGACCCTGCCCAGACCCTTGAAATTTCCTTTCCTATCCCTTTCATTAAAAATTCCTGATCTTAATTTCCTCTTTGTCTGGTCCAGCTATACTTAAATAGCTAGACACAGATGATCCAGCTCAGGATTTCTTAATCCAGAGTCCTGGAACTACCTTTTTAACCAGTATTATATTCTGAACCCCTTTGGCCATCTGCGAAGATGAAACCTTTGAGTCCCTTTTCATAATCATATTTTAAAATAAAATGTATAAGATTACAAGGAAACCAGTTATACTAACATATTCTATCAAATGACTTAAAAAAAAGCTGAGGTCAAAGACCACAGGTCAAGATCCTCTGGTCTAGTATGACCTCTGCTTATAGCTTATGGCAGAAGAGTCCAAGAAGCACCTAGTGGTCTTTTCCACATCACATCTATACAAAGTTATCTGATTTTATTATTCTTATTTTTAACAATTGCAGTTGCTATTTTAAAAACCTAATTTATGTACCGTAGCCAGGCAGAGACTATAAATTCCAGGTGCCTCAGATGGTCTCCCATAATGGTGAGAGTGCAGTGGAGTAAGGTAATTACTGAATAAGAGAAGGATGATTTTTGGACAGCTGCTTCATGCTGTTCATGATTGGCAGAAAAAACCCCAAACCTGCCTTTCCCAATCTTTATTTCAGTCCTGTGGTGTTTTCTATTTCCATTTGTCCAACTGAGGTTGCTTCTTTAATCAGATATTTATGGCCTCTTGGGGAGGGCTGATAAGAAGCTACTCTAGTGGAGTCAGCTTGTCGGTGTATTGAGCTGATACCCTTATTTCACTCGCCTTTTAGCCAGGACTGTTTGAGAAATAAGGATGTTCTGTTCAGGGGATTAATGTTCTTAAGATGGGGTTGGTACTGACATAGCCTTTAAAAGCTGTTTCAGCACCTTTGCTGTCATTTCTAGGCCTGGGTCTGAGAGTCTCCATCTCCATGAGAAGTTGGCAGTCGAGATGCGAAAGATTCAAAGTCCCTGGCCAATTTGTCATGAGCCTTCCTGCCTCTACTATGACATGATTCAACAATGGATAAACGTGAGACCCAAAGGTTATTCTACTTTGAGGAGATCAGGTCCTTTTAGTCCTTAAGGTTAAAAAGAGCACAGATTTAGTGCTAGGAGGAATCTTAGAAGCCCAGAGAAGCTTTCAGAGCTGCTCAGTGTTCACACAGCCCAGATTTATACAGCTAGTTAGTGTCTGAGGTGAAATTCAAGCCTCATCTTCCTGAATCCACGTTCAGGATTCTATTGTTGTATCTCATGTAAAAGTTGCCCCCATTTTATGGAAAGCAAATAGAAGTACGCTCTACAGGTGAATGCCATAGAATCCAGGATTCTCAAGTCCAGCCTGCACTCTGCTTATTCATACTTGAACTGTTTTACTAGTTTATAGGTATTAAAAACTGTTATTAGCAACCTTATGCAATGACGCATTTGGACAGCCCATTTATTGACCTTAGTGGTTTTTCGTGAACAAGTATGAGTTCTCCATGAATCTTTGTTCCACTCTAGGGACCCCTCTGGATGTGAGTTACTCAAATTATGATCATTGAGCCTTGAAGATATCTCTTCAATTCTTCTTACAACAATATCCAGAAAAAGACCCATCACATTTTTAAAAGGGGCATTAAATCTGAGGAGAGCAGATAAACCAGGGCTTTCATCTAAAGACTATAGCTTTGACAAATTTTACTCCCTTTGTGGTCTCAAAGCTGCCATACAATCTTCTCAAACGATATCTAAAATTGTTCACATTTCTCAGTGGAATCTTTATTCTTTAGCATTACTTTCATCTTTCTCTTACTATCACCCTTGAAATCAGGCCATTTTCTTTAATTTTTTCATTTGTTTGTTGTGATGTAATGTGGTATAGTGGAAAGAACCCTGGCTTTTGAGTCAGTAGACGTGGGTTCAAATCCTGGCTTCACCACTTATTAGCCACGTGACCTTGACCCTTCTGGGCTTCAGATTTTCCTCTTTTGCAAAATGGGAAACCAGATGACCGATAAGGCCCCATATAGGTCTGAACCTATGATTTTATGAGAAAATCTGAAAACTGATAGCTTTTGGGGTGAGACGCAACTCTTGGAGAAAATTTTGAAAAATGTTGGAGGCAAAGACATGACACTTGAACATAGAACCTTCATGAGGGAACATGAAATCAATTCGCAAATAGCCATTAAATGTACTCTGTCGATAGAATAAATCCTTTGTGCTCAGGACAGTAGGACGTTGTGGGAAATCCAGCTAAGCATAAGACAAGATCCCTGTTCTCAAGAGGGCTATACTCTAGCAGCATCTAGTTACCAATTAATGGTACCCTTCTATTATCTAACCTGTACAGATTTGATGATGAAGAAGAGGTGGTTAGAAGGAGTGTCCCTCTAAAACATGGGGCTTGAGCTGACCTTTGAAGAATGAGCACTGTTTACCTAAATAGAAAGCACAAGCCTGTTGCAAGTAGGTGAACAAAACTGAGAAGGCAGAAATATAAACCAAAAGGCCTTTATTTGTTTGAAAGAAGTCACTAGGCTTGACTGCCTGCTAAGGTTGTGTTTTGGGAAGCAATGGGAAATGAGGTTCAATATTTAGGGTGGGGCCAAATTATGGATGAGCATTAAACTTCCTGGTGGAGAAGTTTAGATTTGACATGGAGGGGGTCCAATTCATGGATTAGGTGGCTTTTGAGGTCCCTTCCAACTCTAGCAAGCCACTTTGAGGGAGTGGTAGGAGAAGTAGATCTCAGGAAATTGGTCTGATAACCACATACAAGAAGACAAGCTCAGTATTTGTTGCAGTAATCTGCATCTGGGAAGTGTGAGAAATTAGACTAGAGTGGTAGTAGATTAAACAGAGAGGAAAGGAGAATCTGAAAGAAGAGAAGAATACTGAAGGGCTAGATGATGAGAGTTGGTGATTCAATCCAAGGGATAAAGGAGAGTTTAGAGCCAAAGGTGATTTCAAAACTCCTAGACTGAGACACAGGAAAAGTGTTTGTGCCATGGACAAAGCAGAATAGTTGGGGGAAGGGAAGCCAGTTAGGAAGAAGAATGAATGAATTAAAACAAATGGAGAAGAAGAGCACTGGGGATACAAATAGACAAGTCAGACATTTCCTGTTCTCGAGTGGCTTCCATTTGAATGGGAGAGACAACACATTTAGAAGGTTTCAGCTACAAGTCTGACGGGAAAGTCCCTTGGTTCATAGATTTCAGTGGTAAAGCATCATTTAATGGCATTTCCATTGATAAAAATCACATCAGATTCTGGTGCTGAACCATTTGACCATTCCAAGGACTGGTGGTGAGAATTTCCTTTTCTCGGTCTTCAGTGACCGTGACTTCAGTTGTCAGAAAAGCAACCACTAGGTTGCATCTCTACAAGGATTGCTTCCCAGGATTATGGCTGCAGGGTCTGGCCTGAAAGCAGAATGAGTGGTTTTGTGGTTGTTAAGAAAGGCAGCCCCTTGTCCCCAGGGATTTCTTCCTTCCGATGGCTTTGGGGCCACCGTTGGCTCAGCTGGAAGCAGGACCAGTGGTCTGGAGGGCAATGTTATCCCCAAGGCTCTTCAGGAAGAGATGAATTAACTTTTGCACTTTATGAGTTTGAAACAATGGCAGGACATCTGCATAGAGAGAGCCTGTAGGCAAGTCAGGGGTAAAAAATGAATCTGAGAGACTTCTGGAGAGGAGGTTAGTTGAAGCCATGAGACTTAAATCAGCTTGCTGAGGGAGTAAGGCGAAGAAAAAGCAGAGCACTGAGGACAAAGTCTTGGAAGAACATTGTTCTCTTAGGGCCAGGTGGAAGAGAAGCCAGAAAAGGCATAAAAACCAGAATACACACAACGTGGATAAATCGGTGTGGGGAATTCCTGGTTTGAGAACACCCTTCACGAAATCAAGACTGCAACCCATCCATAGTTAAATAGAACCACAACATTCATCTGTGATGGTATTTGTGTTATGCCAAGTGACCTACCCCAGGTTGCATGGTTATTGAATGTCGACTGGGATTTGACCTCAGGTTTTTCTGATTCTAAGACTAGTGCTCCATCTACTATGTCAAGGTGCCTTGATATATATGTTGTATGTTTATTAGAGCTACATTGAATCAATGATCTAAGATGGTGCTGAGCCATGAGAAGTAACAGAGGCTGTGACTGTGAGAAAAACACCAAAAGAACAACAATATTTAGCCTGAAATTCCTGCCATTTATTTGAAGGAGATTCTTATTGAGAAAAAAAAGCTACTGGTCCCTGGAGAAGTGAGATTCTGCAAATCGTATTTTAGCAATCGAAGCTCAACTGGATCAGTTCACCAGTTTCAGAGACGGTTTTTATGTCTGATTTGGCTTGCCAGATCCCTTTTAATGTTTGTCGATTTCTTCTACATTAAGTTTAATCATCATATTTAATTATTTTGGTGTAATAAATCTTTCTAAAACATAACTTTCTCTACTGAGGCACCAAAGTACCTTAGGTCGTATTTGAAAACAATGGGCATACCATCTCCCACTGAAAACTTTGAATAGAATAAAATGTAGGTTTCCAGGGAAGGTTACCTAAAAATTATTGAGTGGCAGGTAGAATGTAAATTCCTTGAGGACAGGGCTGATTTTGTTTTTCCTTGCATTCTTAGTCTCCGACACATAGTAGGTGCTTAATAAATGCTTGTCGAATTGAACGTGTTTGTTTTAACAGTTGACTGTTGGGATGGTCCAGATGGAGAGCCAGTGGTCCACCATGGTTATACTCTCACTTCAAAGATCCTCTTCCGAGATGTTGTGGAGACTATCAACAAAACTGCCTTTGTGAAGAATGAGTAAGTACTCTCAAACCCTTTCTCCTGCCTTGAGATCTAGCCCAGATAGGGCACAGCCAGGACACAAAATCACAAAGTGGGGAATGAACATTTCTGCCATGAAGTTTGTTTAACTCCAAGTGGTGAATGACATTGAAATATCTGAACACTTGCTCTTCCGATGGGTCAAGTGGGAGGGTAAGCTGATGAGATCTACCATGTGCAGAATGCATGGCTGGAACACTGCCTCAGGAGAGAGGAGAGATGCTTGCCTCTGTTTTCTCAGCTGGAAATGGGTTTTATGAGCATTCTTGCCAGATGGCGGCCACACTTCTTCGGACTTTAAATCCATGATTCTTTGATGTTCTGACCTATTTATCTCCTTGTGGTGAGAACGTGGTTGTTTTCAGTCTCCAATCTTTCAGAAGAAAGAAATTACAAAGAAAACATTGTTATTATGGTTACTTAACAGTTGGATAATTGTTGAATAAGTTCATTGAAAGAAGATATCAAAGCTCTCTTCAGAAGTTGAATTGTTTCTCTGCCATGTGTAATTTTCATTTGCAGGAATTGTTCACGTTAATTGATTGTTACTGTTCCCTGACTTGGGATTCATGGAGGAGTATAACCTATTAGGGGCTTTTTAGTTAAATGTGATTTCCATTAAAGTCCCTGGGATGATTGTGGAGAGATTTCCAGCCTCCTCCACATGGTAGCTGCTGGGTTTGTTTGTTTTTGGAAGCACATATCCCTTCAGGTGGTCATGAGCATGAAATCAGATGACTCTTCTGGGCATGGGGCCTGGCACATGTGGTGAACAGATTTCTGTTTGATGGGCCTCGTGTTAACATTAGGCTGGGGATGGGAGCTGAACCTGTGATTCCATGGCTATTGGGCACTCCCAGATGAGGAGATTCCCTTTGCCAAAGTAGGGTGCTACCTTTCTTGCAACTTGTCGACTTAAGAGAGTTGTCTGGAACACAAAAAGTTGAGTCCCCTCCCGCCAACCAGGTTCTTTCTGGCTCCAAGGCCAGGGCTGTCTCCACTGTGCCTTGTGTTCTTTGAATATCACTTAATAATACTCTTCTATTATTAGCCTTATGTGATTAGTTTTAATATCATTCTCATTATCAGTGCTATGACTGTTATGTTTTCCTAATGAGTGGAATAAAATCTCACTCAGTCATGGCTCTTAATGTGGGAACAGGGCTTTGCCCACAAGCCAGAGAATTGGTTTTGGTTTTCCCCAGATATATTTTGAATTTTATGATGGATACTCTACGTGTCAGAGAAGGCGTATTAGCAGTTATTTTACTAAAAGGATACAGCACAAAACTTTCAAAATAAAAATGTAAGTAATTCAGACCTGGAAGTCCATTTATAGTATAATAAAAAAAAGATTAAGAAAAGAATGACTAAAGTGATTGGAAAAGAGGAAGGAAACAAATATATACTTGTGTCGGGCACCATGCTGAGTGCTTTACAAAGATTCTCTCATTGGAACTTCACAACAACCCTGGGAGATAGATGCTATTATGATCTTCGTTTTAGAGCTGAGGAAACTGAGGCAGGCTGAGGTTAAGTGACTTGCCCAGGATCACACAGCTTGTTAATGTCTGAGGCTGGATTTGAACTCAGGCCTTCCTAACTCCAAGCCCAGCTATCTATCTACTGCCAGCTACCTGGCTGCAGAAGCATGGCAAAGTGATTTTGGAGTAGGAGGACCTGGGTTCCCATCCCAGTTTTGTAATTAACTAGCAGTATGACCGTGGTCAAATCTCTTCCATTACTCTGGGCCTCAGTTTCCTTAACTGTACCAAGAGCATTAGACGAGGTGACCTCTAAGGGCCTTTCTACCTTAAAGTCAATGGTGTGATGGTTTAGAGCAGGCAAGGGCCTTGAGGATTTTCTAGCACATCTTCGTTTTACAGACGGCGCTCCTTGGGTCTCACACTGGTGGAAATGAATTGAGTAAGGTCATACTGCTAGTACATTACTTAGAAGACACAAATTCAGATTGCCTGATTCCAAATGTGATATACCAGCTAGGTGTCACTGTGGAGGAAGATCTGAGTTCAAATCCAGCCTCAGGCATTTACTAGCTGTGTGACCGTGGATAACTCATTTAAGCTCTCTCTGCCTCAGTTTCCTCATCTGTAAAATGAAGATTATTCTACCACCTACCTCCCAAGGTTGTTTCAAGGATGTGATAATAATTGTAAAGCACTTGGCACAATGCCTGGCACATAGTAGGTATTTAATAAGTGCTTATTCCCTTCCCCTCTTTCCCCTTTTATTCTCCTGTGTATATGAATCCTGAGCTTTATTTCTGTCTCTGCACCAGCTGCCTCTGTTGCCTTGGGCAGATCACTTGAACCATGTGCCCCTTAGACTTTCAGTTTGTAAATAGAATGCTAGTGTTCAGTTCATACTTGAAATGTTTGGAAAAACACTTTAATATCATTCTATCGACATAGTTTTGAAACACTTGCTTTGAAAGGACCACGTGACTCTAAAGTACTTTTTATCTTCCAGTGGATGCTGTAGTTTGTTTTATTTTAGCTAGAAAGCTTGAAAAACACGAAGAAACAATTACATTTAATGATAGGTGTCCCTAAGATGTTTCCAAAAGGGAGAATAAATCAGATGCAAATAAAATATGTAATGTTCCTTTCTTGGTTATGGCATTATGGTTCCTCTCCCTCTCCTCCCTCTCTCCTCCGCTTCTCCCTTTCTCTCCTCTCCTCCTTTCTTTCTCCTTCTCTCTCTCCCCTCCTTTCCTTTCCATTTCCCCCTTTCCCTCTCTCTTTTCCTTATTTCTTTCTGCTCTCGTTCTTTCTCCCCATCTCCTCTGTCTCTCTTTTCCCCCTCTTATTTTCTTTTCTCCTCCCTTTCTCTTTTCTTCCATCACTCTTCTCCCTTTTTCTTCTTCCTCTCCTTTCCCTCTTTTCTATTTTCTCCTTTCCCTATCTTTCCTCCTCCTCTTTTCTCCTCTTCCTTTGTTTCTTTCTTTCTCTCTTTTCTTCTTCTGCCTCTCTGCCTGTCTTTGTACATTACACACCTTACCTTGAGTTCCACATGGATCTAAGTCATGCTCTATGCCCTGACCATTTGCTCAACCATTAAGCAGATCACAATGTTTTTTCCTCTGAAGGCAGAGGTTTTAATAAATGCATCTCGGATCATTGTAGGTTGGGTTTTTTTTTTCTGTTTTCTTAATCTTCCCCTCCACGAGGACGACTGCCTAGAAATGCGAGAGCCCAGTCAGCCCCGCATGCTTTTCTGAACCTTCTCTACTGCCATGCCTCTGAAGCCTTCCTTTTGTGGTTGTTTTTGTCTCAGGTTCCCAGTGATTTTGTCCATTGAGAATCACTGCAGCATCCAACAGCAGAAGAAGATTGCTCGATACCTAAAGGAAATATTCAGTGACAAACTGGACTTGTCATCTATCGACACTGGAGATTCCAAGCAGCTTCCCAGCCCACAGAGTTTGAAAGGAAAAATTTTAGTGAAGGTAATTACTTGCAGAACATAATAAAAGTCATCATCTATCAACCTAGCCCCAAATTCCCCTAAGGATTAAGAAATGGTTTATCAAAAGAATAATAATCAGAATGGATACACAATATCCAAAATGGATACTGACATTCTTTCTCTCTCTCTCCCTCTCCTTCCCCTCCTCTCTCTTTCTCTCTGTCTCTCTCTCTCTCCCCCCTCCCACCTCCCTCTCCCTCTCTCTCTCCCCTCTTCTCTCTCTGTCCTTCTGTCCCTCTCCACCTCCCTTTCTTTCCCCTTTCTCTCCTCCCTCCCCCCCGTGTCTCTCTGTCTTTCTATGTCTCTATCTCTGTCTGTCTCTGTCTCTCTTTCCTCCCTTCCCCCACTCTGTTCTGCCTCTGTGTAGTTTTCTTTCCCCTCTATTTTCTTTCTAATTTGGCATTCAAAAGAAGTGTACTGCTGATATGCCAAGTCTCCTGGGATTCTTTTTTCGGGGGTGAGAGCCTCATACTATAAAGCAAGTGTTCAATGTGGAATCTCTAATTGTTGTTTACAATGCAGAAAAATGGGAGGTGGGCTCTTTCACAAATACCTGCTGGCGGCATGTGCCTAAACCTCTTCCCGCTTCCCTACATCCAGCTCCCATAACAATCTGTCAAAGGAAAAAAAAAAGTGTCTCCTTCACGCTTGGCCAGCTGTGGTTATATAAGTGAGAGGAGTGAGCTTAGAGGCTCAGCACATGCTCAGGCCAACACCCAGCAGGCCTGGCTGGCTAGAGGTGATTGTGTCTGAACAGGCAGGGCCAGGACAGGAATAATCCGACATGGCTCTGAGTAGAAACAGTTTCTGGAAGGGAGGAACCTGCCAGCTTATAATGAAAGCGATAGAGGCAAAGGAGGTGTTGCCCCCTCCAATAGCTGGTGTCATCCTGGCGGCATTGACTGAAGTTTGGTCAGCTCAGTGGGAGCCAGAGTCAGAACCCTTCTGACTGGCTTCATTGATGTGGGGAAGGGGGGCAATTTAGGGGTTAAAATTCAAGCTGGATTGTGTTGTCCTCAAAAGAGTCAGGGACCAAAATGAATATTGTGTCAGCTACGATCAGAGTAGATCCAGACTTGAGCTGGAAGGGACCTTAGAGATAATAATAATAATAATGATAAAAATAATAATAACAATAATAATAATAATACTTATTATTACAATGATAAATTCCAGCATTTATACAGTGTTGTAAGCCTTACAAAGTGCCCTACATCTGTTATCTCATTTGATTTGAGATAAACACAACATCCCTGTGACTCAGGTGGTATTATTATCCTCATTTTACAGATGAGGAAACTGACACAGACAGAGGCTAAGTGACTTATCCAGGGTTGAACAGGTGGGAAGTGTCCTAGGTGGGATTCGAACTCAGGTCTTCTTGACTCCAAGTCCAGCATTATAACCACTGTGCCACCTAGCTGCCTCAGTGTAGTCCAGTTGTTTCATTTTACAGATGGGGAAACTGAGGCTCAGAGAAATGAAGAAGATTCTTCAATTTTATACAGGTGGCAAGTGGCAGAGTCCAAATTTGAGCCTGGGATCTCTGACTCCAACCCTGGCATTGTTTCCATTGTCCCACACTTCCCCCTCAAGAGATTGAAAGACAGAGAAAGTTGAATAGGATCACAGATGCAGAGATGGAAGGTGCTACAGAGACCACAGAGCTCATCCCCTCCCATTGACGTAGGAGGAGTCTGAGATGAGGGAGGAAGTGACTTTCCCAAGGTCACAAAGACAATGGGCAGCATAGCCGGGATTTGAATCCACACCTCTGATTCCACATCTCGTCTTCTTCCCAATACTATCATGCTGTAGCCATGGTTTCAGGAAGCAGCAGATGGTAAGGATGGCGTGACTCTGACCCTGCAGAGGCTGTGAAATTGTCTTCCCATCTGTACGGCAGAGTGACAGTGATGTTCGGAAAGGCTGCCTCCAGGGGGCCTGACCCTCACTCTCCCCTCCCTGCTGGGCTGACCATGAGTAGCAGTTTCACTACAGGAGTGCACCTCCAGGCCCTGAGGAGTCTCCATCGGCTTACAGAAAGACGGGGGGCAGCAGCATCTGTATTCCCCCAATCTGCTCCAAATACAAGCCGGCCAAACACGAGAAATGATGAAAAAAATCTCAGCAGTGCTTAATAAAGATGATGAGTTTGTGTGTGTGTGGAAGTTCTCCACTCTCGTGAGATCAAATGAGCTGAGTATATAAGATGGGGTGACAGGGTGCCTACTTCAAAGGAAAATTCAAGGTTGTAGTGTATCAGTGAAAGCCTTTTGGATAAAAGCACACCAGACATTCAACATATCAGTAAGAATGAGAATAATATTAATAGATTAAATTGATATAATGCGTTGCATTTCCAAAGTGCTTCTTACCTTCTAATAAATTATCTTATTTTATTCTTACATAACAACTTGGTGAGATAAAGTGTATGAGTATAATTTATACCTGTTTTGCAGATGAAGAAACTTAGGGCAGAGAAATTGTGGTTTGTTCCAGGTAACACAACTAGTCAGTGGTTAGAGATTCAAACCTAAGTCTGGTGACTTCCTTGACTGTGCTGCCTTGGTTAAAATTCAGTCAGTCATTTATCAGTCATGTCTGACTCTTTGTGACCCCATTTGGGGTTTTCATGGCAAAGATGGTAGAGTGGTTTGCCGTTTCCTTCTCCAACTCATTTTACAGATGAGGAAACTGAGGCAAACAGGGTTAAGTGACTTGCCCAGGGTCACACAGCTAGTAAGTGTCCAAGGCCAGATTTGAACTCAGGGAGATGAGTTTTCCTGATTCCAGGCACAGCCCTCTATCCAGTGCACCATCTACGGCCCATTGATTGAAATTAACTTGCCTTATTATCTTATTAATCCTTGGTCTTTATAAGAGAAATTGGAGCTGGATTTGAAAATGAGAGTCAAACAAAAGAGTCTATATTATGTGGGGGAGAGTATCGTCTCTATAGCCACACAAACATATCTGAATTTCCTGAACATTCATCTATTCTATAGTTGAGATAACAATCTGTCAATCAACAAGCATTTATTAGAAGTCTATTAAAAAACATACCAGGCACAGAGACGAAAATGAGACAGTCCCTGTCTCAAGGACATAATAATAATAATAATAATAGTCATAATGATAGCTCATGTTTGATATGACATTTTAAGGTCTGCAAATCACTTTTCAAATATCATCTCTGGTTAGACCAGCCACCTAAAGGTTAAACTCCTAATTGGGTTTGTGGAATGGAAATTGCCTTCACTTTGAAACAGAGGAATTTTAAAGGCAGACATTGGAATAATGCAGAATGGACCCTTTGGACATTTCACACCCACTTAAGATGATGTTAATTGAATAACCTCCCACACAAATGAAAGTTCTCCTGATAATTTAGAGGAATCTTCTCATGGTTTTCATGCAAACAGCATTCTTGGGCACCAGGTTGGCTCATAGTGAGAAGGAAAGAACTGCCAATGGTCATTTGGAAGAGCAACAGAGTTTATTGTACATTTTCCAACGGTGCCCAGGGCCCATTTGCCCCTGGGAGTGGTCCACAGCCTTTCTGAAGGTCCCCTACATTTTATAGATCAGCACCTCCTCGTTCAGTTTGAAGGAAAGACAAAAAGAGCCAAGTAACTTCAGCCCCTCAAATAAGTGACCTTAGGCCCAGTTGCTCAAAGGCAGCAAATACCCACTCGGAGGGCTCCGTCCTCTTTTTAAGCCCTCTATGTCCACAACCCGGGATCACAAAGCCAGAAGGGACCTGACAGTCAGTGAGTCTAGCCCCCTCATTTCACAGATGAGGAAGCCCAGGCTCAGATTAGCATTGCTGAGGTCATGCAGGCAGTAAATGGGATAGGAGATTGAAAGTTTGAGATCAATATTAGGGATTCTTTGGCTATATTATTATCATTTTTTTCAAAAAAAATTACAAACTTAATAAAGATCAACCATGTCACTGGTTCTGCAGTTGAGGAAAATGAGGTCCAAAGAGGTATAAAGTGATTTGCCCCAGGCCACACAAGTAGTAAGTGGAAGAACCAGGATTTTAACTGAGGTCCTCTGACTGCTCCCTTTCTACTGCCCTCTGGGAGTTGGGTCTCTAACAGAGCTCCATGAACTTGTTTCCCTTTCTTCATCCTGGCTAGATACTTTTTTACTTTGGAGGGAACCACTTCTCAATGACGCATTTTCTACTTCCTTTCAAATGATTGATTTGGGCCCCTTTACTGACTATAGTAATGAGCTGTTGTTTGCAGATACACATCGCTCCTGAGATGTAACTGAGGGAGACTCAAGATGTAACTAAGTCACCGGTTCTGCTGTTTTTGGCTGCCACTCTTGCATGAGTTATTCCAATCTGAGGCTGTAACTTTCATGAAAGACTCACTGTATTTCAGCATTCGTAAGGGTAGGGACTATGCTTTATTACATCTGTGTGCTCCCCCAGTGCATTTCACATAGAACAAGCTCAATCAGCATTTGGTGAATGAGTGAATATGTTAGAAGGCTTTTTACAAGTCGTGAGCTGCTAGCTCAATTTCTGTTCACTCTTGAATGCCTGTGTCTTATCTACTTTAGAAGGCTCATTGCTCTATTCTGTTGCTTATCCAGATTCTCAGGTATCCTAATGATGCCTCTGAAAAGAAAAATCACAACAAGAATGGACTCTTAACAAAATAAACTCATTTAGCAGGGGCCGTCAGTGTCAGGGGAACCTAAGAGAATGTGCAATGGTTCTATAAATTCATGGTTAGCTGGGCTGGGTGCTGGCAGATATTTGTGAAAGAAGTCTACCTCCCATTTTCTGCATCATAAATGGGAAAGAAATATCATTTCTGGCCAATTTATTAGAATGGCATGATAGAGACAGGGTGACACAGTGGATAGAGAACTGAACTGAGAGCAGGAAGTTCTGGATTCAAGTCGTCCTCTGATACACAATGACTCTGCAACCCTGGGCAAGTCACCTAACCCCTCTTGGAATGCTGGGCAAAGACTATAAGTTGCAGAGAGGGAGCCAAATTGTGTTGGTGGAGGGAAATCCCTCATTCAAGAGTTCCCAATGAAGTAAAAGCTCCAGTTCTTATCCCGATTGGGATGGTAGACTTTGGAGCTGGAATGAATCTTAGAGATCATTTGGCCTCACCCTCTTATTTTATAGACAAGGAAAATGAGTCACAGAGAGGGGGAATGACTTGCCCACCAAGGTCAAACAGTTAGGAAGGGACCAAGGATCCAAACACAGCAAGTCTGACTCCAAATCCAATGCTCTTCCCCTGACACCATCCTGCCTCTTATTAGGTCAACTGGAATAATGAGTTTAAGAGTTCTTCCTGTAAGGAAAATAAAACATCTTAAGACCAATTGATCTCCCCTCCTTGTCTATAGATATCACTTTGTTCTATTGGGAAAGTTCCTGGGCCATCCTCTTGTATTTTCTAGGGGGGGCCGCCATCTTTTCTGTTACTTGGAGTGGGTGACATTGGAGTCATCTTCTGTTGTCTGTAGTCTTTCAGCCTGCTCAGCTCATTGCACAGGGTGCAAAGACAATCAAGGGTATGTTGTGATATAATCTCAAAAATTACTAACATGCAAGCTCTCTCTCATTAATTACTCATGAGCACCTAACCCAGTTTAGAAAAAGCAAGAAAACACCTTTTTAAAAAAAAAATGCTAGCCTTCTTTTCTCTCTGTCCCACACCTCCATCTTATAGTCTTACGCAACTATTAATCTAACTAACCATATAATTTGATGAATCTGTAATGAATAATACAGAAACCTAGAGGGATTTTCAAGCGAGTATTGGCTGTAAGAAAATGTCTAGCTAGAATCGCCTATCCCAGATAATTGCAACTGTGGACTTCTTCAGAACGCTGGAACCCCAAAGCTCAGTTCTTTCAGGATGATAGTTACAGTCTCTCATGACTTCTCAGAATGCCTTCTCTACAAAATGAGAATTAAACTCATTTCTCTCAAAATGTCTCTTCAGACTGTCTCAGAGATGACAGTTAACTCTTGAAGTCTCTCAGAGACATTCTCCATGACAGTTAGCTCTCCATGTTTCCAAAGGAAAATTCCTCTAGTCTTGACTGCTGTTCCCCCAAATTCTATTTCCTCTCCCTTAAAGTTGTACTAATAGTAAACAAAGTCTCTATATAAGGGGCTATTGAAGTTAGGGGTTAGAAAGCTGTATTATAGAGTCTTTGAGGGGAAAAAACAGCACTTTATTTATGCTCCTATCTCCTCCGGCCTCTGGTAAGGTACATTTCAGGTATAGTGGATAAATATTGATTTGTTGGCTGAATGGTTGATGAGGAAAGGGTTTGCTAAGTAAAGCGTGAGCCAATGGGGATAAAGGACATGTTTAACCTACTTGAGAGAACTACTTTTAAGGTCGTTTGTACCTCAATTCTGTGCAATTGTATGTCCCTGCCAATAGGAAGCTCTTATCTATTGATGAAATCAAAACTATTTGAATCTCTAATTTGAAAAAACATCACCATCAAGTAGCTGTCATTACATAGGCTTAAAAATGACCCAAACTATATCTTCATTCAAAATTTTATCATTCGTGGCATTTTACTCTTTCAGACTGACTTTCTTTTCAGTTAGTGTGAATCAATGGTGCCATTTTCTAGAAGAACGCCCTGGCCGAGGAGTCAGGAGATGGTCTTTAGCTCTGTGTCTGCAGTTACAAACTGGCGATGTGGTCAATGGATCCTTCATTCGGTGATGTATTGTTTTGGGGAGGTCACAGGTTCTCTGTCCTCATGATTACAATGAATGTAATGATATTATAGAACAGGGGTTCTTGGACAGGGGCCTGTGACCTTGGTCTTTAATATTTTGGTAACTGTATTTCAATGTAATTGGTTTGCATTTTAATCCTATGTGTTTCATTGAATGCATTTAAAATGTGATTCTGAGGAGTCCATTTGGTTTCATCAGATTGACTGCTAGGGGAGTCCAGGACACATTAAAAAGGGGAAATCTGCCCCCCCCACCCCCGACCCAGTTTAGATGAACTCAATAGATCCCCTCTAGGTATTAAATATGGCAGGCAGCAAGGTACCATGGATAGAGTTCTGAATTTAGGATCAGAATAACAGGATTCAAATCCCATCTCTTACTACCTGTGTGGCCTTGGGCAAGTCACCTAATCTCTTTAGGCCTCAGTTTCTTCATCTGTAAAATCAAAGTGTTGATCTAGATGGTCTCTAAGACCCCTTCTAGTTCTGAATCTATAAACTGAGTCTGAGGATGACACTTGAACAGTATTCAGTTATTATTTTGTAATGATTTTTTTTTTTCAATTAAATTTCAGGGTAAGAAGCTACCCTACCACCTTGGAGAAGATGCAGAAGAAGGTGAAGTTTCAGATGAAGATAGTGCTGATGAAATTGAAGACAACTGCAAATTTAAGCTCCATTATGTAAGTTATTTACTTTGCTACTTTGGGTCATCTTTAAGACCCCCTGACAGAAGGAGGGAAGAGGGGCCAGCTACTGCTACGATGATGGAATGCCTGAGAATGTGGCTGAGGAGCTGCAGAAGCATTGTCACTGAAGTTGTTTTAATCACACAATCAGAGACTTTGGGAGTTGGAAAGGACCTTGGTGGACATTTAGTCTGACCTGACCTGTCTTTCTAGAACTGAATCCAATATCAAGTGATTAGATCTTGAGCTGGCACTCTCATAGTCCTGGGTTAAGTTCACAAGCTGTCAGTTGTCTCCATGCCCTACTCACCTCCACCCTTCCACCATTCTACAGAGCTATCATGAATCAGTGATTGCTTTCATAGTTGGTTGGAAGAATTCTTTTGTTGCTGCTGGAGGTATTTTCCTTCTGGGATACAAGGTCCTCTTGTAAGGAAACTGGAAAGCTGTGGATTAGACCGTCCATGTTAGGGTCTAATCAGTTCTAAGATTCTGAGATTGATTTCTGAAGTATCATATCTGAGATAAGCAGTTGCTTAGCAATTTGTTAACCAGATTGGAGTGTGGAAAAGGTAGGTACTTTCTCACTCCTTATTCTCCAAGCTGATTTACAGTCGGGTAAATTCTAATAGGAGAAAATGTAGGGCTAAGTGAGCCAGTATTCCCCAATGACTTTCCCCCTCTGCAACCCCCTTAGAGGGAAGTATGTGATCATTTAGCCAAGACTAATATGTATTACATGGGGCAGCTAGATGATCCAGCAGATAGAGTGCCAGGTCTGGAGAAGTCAGATACGATTGAAACAACTGAACAACAAAAACTATATATATATTCCCATCAACTTTAGAACCTTTTAGAATAATTTTCATTTCTATATAAACCAGTCTTTTCAGGTCTTCTATGGACTAGGCAGGAGCACCATCTCTGTTGCCCTACTGACTGAAAAAAAATGGGGAGATATTGAATATTCCTAATCTTTATGAATTTATATTACAGTATCACAGAAAGAGTATTAACCAGTGCCTGTTGGTGCCAAAAAGAATCAACATTATTTATAAATGGAATGTGAGGTAGAAAACTGAACTGACTGAATCTAAACAGGGCCTCAAGTGTGGCCCTTTGATTTGGATTCAGTCAAAGGACTGTGCTTGAGGACCTAGAGGGCCACATGTGGCCTTGAGGCCACGGGTTCCCCACCCCTGGGCTATACTAAGTATAGGAGTCAATCTGGGTAACATGTAACTTACTTTAGGTGATAATGTTTAGAAGACTTGGGTGCCAAATGGAACCATCATTGTCCTCCTAATCTCATCAAGTGTCTATTATTTGATAGTCTTTATAGAAATTACATTTAATTGATTTAAGTAAATGGAAATATGAGTGCAATGTTTTGTAATTTTCTCTGCTAGATGTGTCTTAATTGAAAGGCAGCCTGGCATAGAATGTTGGATTTGAACTCTGGATAGAATACAAAAAGTTGTTGAATTTATTCTTTAATCATTTTCAGTTGTGTCTGACTCTTTGTGATCTTTTTTTGGGGTTTCCTTGGCAAAGAAACTGAAGTGGTTTGCCATTTCTTTCTCCAGCTTATTTTATAGATGAGGAAATGGAGGCAAACAGAGTGAAGTGACTTGCCCAGGGTTACTTAGCTAGTAAGTATCTGAGGGCAGATTTGAACTCAGGAAGATGAGTCATCCCGACTCTTGGCTCTGTGCACTCTGGTGCCACCTAGCTGCAGGAAGACCTAAATTCAAATCTACTTCAGACATTTACTCACTATGTGATAACTTCTCAGTATTTTAGACAATCCCCTAAGACTGATCTCCTAAAACTTTTAACTTTCTATCCATTGGGAGAGGGAGTTCCCTAAGACCAGGGGCTTTCTTTGCCCAGAATCACCAACCCTCAGGGACTTTCTTTTCTACCTAAAACTTGTATTAATGGTTTTTACTTTTATGTCGCATTCATGTCCAAATATATCCTCTCCTCCCTGATGATCTGTCTCTCATAACAGAGATTAAACATGAAGGAAAAAAAGGCAATTCAGTAAAAATGACCAAGACATCTACAGAGTCTAAGAGTGTATGCGTTATTCCATGTTGGTAGTCTCACCCCCAGCACCTCTGAAATGAAGGAAGAGAGGTACATTTTGTCCTCTTATGGATAAGAATGGATCCTTATAATCTCCAAATGCTCAGTTTTACTTCATTATTCCCTGGGCTATGTCTTAGTACTTTCACTTAATACTTATTTAGCTTTCTTAGCTACAATCATTTAAATAAATATAGAGCTCAGGTTTTTGTTTATGAATTAGAAACATTCAATTTCTGCTATACATATACATTGTCCCTCTGGGTTTGACATTTTTCAGTTCTTAGGTTTCTAGGCTGTTTCAACAAAGATACCAAATAACTAATGTAAAGTCTGAATACTAGGGTAAAGTCTTAGCTGAGACTACAATAAGAAAAACTTAGACGCTCCTCCCCCCATCCCCACTGGTAATGTATAGTGGAATGAGGACTGGATTTGGAGCCAAAAACCTCGATTCAGATCCTGCCTCTTCCACTTACTTGGGTAATCTTGGGCAAGTTTCTTCATCTCTCTGGGCCTCAGTTTATCTTTCTGTAAAAGGAGGGGGTTGGACTGGATGACCTCTAATGTCTCTACCTGCTCTAACTCTATGAGCCTATTAAAGCAATTGGTGAGGAGAATAAATGGTACAGTCCCTCAGGTAAGGCATTCATAACAGTGGTAATTTCTTCAACATCATACCTTCCTCTTAAAAATTTGTCTAAGTATATAAAACCAAGTTCTTTTGGTTTCCAGAATCCACTGACTCTCAAAATGTTTATTTTCATTTTAGTAAACATTCTAAATTGGTAATCCTGTATTTCCAATGAGACCAAGAATTGTTAACAGGGAAATAAATGTAATAAATGCAAAAAAATGAATATATGCGTGGAATCCTCCATTAGGCACCCCCCTCACCCCCACCCAGTTTGTTGATAGGAATACTGATTCAGTGTTGTTTTAGGACATTTCCCCAAATGACATAGAAATGGTTTCAAAGCCTCTTCATTTCTAGTCTTTCCTTTTAATATTATATAAATAAATTCATTGTCAATTCAGACAGCAGGGCCTTTGTTAATCTTTGGAAGAGGAAATATATAAAGAAAACAGATTCAAGTGGAATGTTTGGTGTATGCATTTAAAAAAATTAATATAATTTTGAACTATTTCCTTGCCTTTGAGCTCTTCAGAGGGAAGGCAGCACCATGTATAAATCCAAGCTATTATTATATTGTAATCAGGCAGTTTACACTCTAACTGAAATGGCTTAAATGCTTTGTAAGGCTTTGCTGGCATTTGAAGCCCCCTGAGACATGTAGGGAAATCCAACCTAGTTCTCTGAATGCCAAACAGCAGCCTGGGTCAGGGGATCATAAGATCCGGCTTTGAATCTCGTCTCTGCCCCTCGCCACAGGTGTGATTTTGGACAAAGCTCATGCCTTCTCTGGTCTCAGTTTCCTCATCTGTAAAAAATGAGGGGATTGGGCTAGCTGGACCCCAAAAATCTTTTCCTACTCTAAACTCTAGACCATGGTAGACTTATAGTTCTATTAAACAGAACCGGAAGAAGGCTTCTTTATCACTTAATGTAACTGGTCTCTTCCATTAATGGAGGCTTTTAATCATAGCTTTCCAGGTTAATTAAGGATGGTTGTGTTAATGGGGTCCTGCAACAAGTAATTATATTTGTTCAGTGTTCGTGAATGCAGACACCCCCACCTCCCTCACTTATCACAGATTGTGTATCAGCACTAGCCCAAGCTTTTTGTTAGCTCTCTTTCTCACTTACATCTGTTATTGGTAATTAAAACAATACTTCAGAACAATAGCCTGCACCTCTCTAGTGGTTTAGGAATATAAAGCACTTTACATCCAGGAGCTCTGGAAGCTTCTCTTGATTCTCTCCCTCTTTGTTTCATCGGTATTTGTGTACTGGGCCTTCCTGTCCTTGGGAAACCCCTTGAGGTCAGGGTCTGTGTCATAGGGATAGGGTCTAGAAGACCGTAGCCGAGCTCTATCGTCTTGGCTGCCTGCAGGTAGGGCCTGGCTTGTACACTTCTTCTGTGTCCCGTATAGGGATGGGAGAGTTCTGGGCACAGAGATTTGTCTTTGTATGTAGTTGATAGAATTTTTTCAGTTTTTATCTGGATGTTTGTCTTTTTGTGGTTTAGACCTAGAAACAATATCTGCCTCATAATCCATGAAGCACATGGTGAGCTGGGGGCATTCAGGGACCCCAGGACTTTTATACAACTCACAGGCCCAGGGGCAGCACAGCTCATGCTGCAGAAGAACAGAGCTGAACCAGGAAAGGAGACAAGGCACTTTTATGAATTCCCTGTAATGTCAATGAGCCTTGCACACTTTGATTTGCCCAATCAAATTCTAGTATTTCCACTTTACAGATTCTCTCAGTGAAGCTCAATCCTTTCTTTTTCCTTCCTTCCTCCCTCCCTCCCTCCCTCCCTCCCTTCCTTCCTTCCTTCCTTCCTTCCTTCCTTCCTTCCTTCCTTCCT